GAATCGAGAAGGGAAACCAGAGCTGGTTTCTTTGTGAGATCTCTGAGAAGATCCTTCTTTGTCACCTCTGACTAGATTCTGTCTTACTCATTCCAGAAGGCTTAAGGGGCTTTGAAAAAAAATACCTGTAGGAAGGACTTGGAAGTCCAGATCCTTTGGGCGTGACACCCCACACCCTAAAATCCGCAGTGAGGGGCTGGTTCAGCTTTGCTTGTGCTCTCTAACTAATGACTCCTGTCTGTCTCCCTTTCAGTGACAGTCTCCTACTCAAAGGAAAGAAATGAAAGAAGCTAAAGACTCCTAGAACCAGCGTCGCTGACCAGCAGAAGATAAGAGTGAGGATCTTTGAACTCCCTCCACTAGCATTGTTTGCCCTCACTTTGAAGTTTTTAATCCAGTAGCCAGATTTGGTCCCTGTACCCCTGCTCCATCTGTGGTGATTCCTGTTACAGGAATGGGCTTTGCCTGTAGGCAGCTGTAATTCCTTCCTCACCCCACTGGTTAAGTTTGGAGAGGAGACAAGGGACTGCTATTAACCCACGTGGATAGAGTAATTTGCCTCTAATCTTCATTAATCTTTAGATTTCTGTAGGATATCAGAATTCTCTTTTGGTCAAGTGAGGGAGTTCTGCTGCCATCAGCACCAGGCTTTCTTTTGTAGTAAATTTTGTTTCACTCTTGATCCCAAGAGAACCTGGGACTGAATTCAGGAAAATGCCATTCATTGGGTGCCTGTCACTGCTGGAATATCTATTTGTGTCACTGCCTGCTCAGTGATGCTTTCAAACATTTGTAAAAATTAAAAGAAAAACAAATTTATATTGTGTCTAAGTGTGCTTAGTGCTTGAAAAAAGATGTTGCAAAGGGGGAGGTGGAATGGAGATTTTATTTGGTTGAAAACAGAATGAGGATTTTGAAGGGAAAGGAACAAGAGAAATACGCTCCTGTTCACTGGTTGATCACAGGGTGGGAAGACAATGAGGAGGTGTGGATGCTCATACAACTGCATGGGTGACCAGGGCTGGTTTCTTAGCCAACTGTAAGTGCTAGAGGTGAGTGTAGGTTTACCTGCTTTTCCAGGTCACAGGAGCATATATGTGTATACACTGTGTGTGTAGATATATATATATATATGTGTGTGTGTGTGTGTGTGTGTCTATATGTATGCATACTGCTTTCCTGGCCAAAAATATAAGACAAATCTTCCTCCACTGACTTAATTCTTTTTGCTTGGATTTCAACAGCAAGATCTTGTTTGCTTTAAGGGCTAGCTTCCTCCCTGTCTCACTGGGCTGCCCTATACTAAGCTTTAGGACTTGGAGGTATCACATTCATAGAATCATACAATATCCTGAGTTGGAAGGGACCCACAAATATGATCAGAGAGAAGCTTTGAAGAGAACAGGCCCTAAAACCCTGGGAAGCACTGCTAGTGACTGACCACCAGCTAGATGTTACCCCTTTTACTACAACCCTTTGAGCCTGACCCCTCAGCCAACTGTTCCCCCCCTGTATTATGTGCATGTCTAGCTGCAGGCTGAGCACTGCTCAGGATACAGAGAGAGACAGAATCAAAAGCTTTGCTAAAATAAAAAAACACCCTCATTTGCCTTTCCTTTGACTACTAGGTGGGTAACCTTGTTGTGAAAGATTATTGTTAGTAAGTCATAACTTTCCCTTCAAGAACTCATGCAGACTTTGATCAACAACCATTGTCTTTCCAGTCTGTTTCAATAACTCCCAGAATAACTTCCACAGTTTCACCAGGTACCAGAGCCAGACTGATAGGCCTGTAATTAACAAGGTCTTCTTTCCTGCTGTTCTTGAAAACTGGGACAGCATTTGCCAGCTTCCAGTTGACTGGGACCTCTTCAGATTCCCAAGGCTTTTGATAAATACCAGAAGTCTTGCAGTAACATCAGCCAACTCTTCAGTGTCCTAGGATGAATCCCTTTGAGCCCCATAGACTTTTTGTGTTCAGTTGCAGCAGCAAATCCCATTCAAGTTCAAAGTCAGCCATGAGCTTATGACTCCCCAAGCTGTGGCCGTCCAGCCCAGGGCTCCAGGCATCCCAGGGCCCATCATGGATGTTGAAAGCAGCACTAATGTCTCCATCACTATTTGGGGATGAGGTGACCTACCTCATCAAGTAACAGACCAATGTTTCCTTTAGTCTTCCTTTCGCTGTTAACATATTTAAAAAACCCTCGTCTTACCCTTCAGCTTCAGCTGAGCTTGGGTCATACAGATTTGCTCTCTATAGTGGCAAGTAGTGTGTCTGTCGTCCTCCCATTTAGCCTGTCCTTGTTTCCAAAGTCCACACACTTTCTACTAAGTTGTGGAAGGAGATAGATCCCTGCTCAGCAGAGCCAGCCTTCTCCCTCAGCTGCTTGACTTCTGATACATTGACCTGGTGATTAGCTCAGCTAGTCAGACCATGATGCCAGTAGTGCCAAGGTTGTAGGTTTGATCCTCTTACAGGCCATTCACTGAAGAGTTGGACTCAACGATCCTTGTGGGTCCTTTCCAACTCAGAATAATCTGTGAACATGATTATTGCATGCTCCCATGCTCTTGAAAGAAAGCCCTTAGAAGGTAAGCAGCTTTTATGTACCCCACTGTCCTCAAAAGCAGACTCTTAAAGGACCTTACTGACTACTTCCTTGAGTAGCCTAAAGTCTGCTCTCCCCAAGTCCAGGGGAGTAGCTTTACTGACAGTTTTTCTTATATCACCAAAGATTTTAAGCTCAAATATTTCATGGTCACGATGGTCAAGACAGCCACCCATGAGACCATCTCTTTTTACAAACAACTCCAAGTTGAACTCTCCAGTGAAGAAGAGAGGCCTTTAGGGACCTCTTTCTCTGGTAAGGCAGAGCATGAGACATCTAAATGAAAGATGTAATTTATGGATTCTTGATTTTAAACTTAACAGCAGTCACAGCCATAACTAATACCCACATATTTTTACTTGCAACATCAAGGAAGCAAAAATTTTTTGAACCAGCTTTCAAAATACATTTTCAAGTAGCCACCCTAAAGTAATTGTGTCTAACAGTGCCTGTGTAAAGTAGACTGCTCATTTCAGTGCTGCGTTTCTTGATGTACAATCATGAAAGTTCTTTTTCAGTCTGATTTCTCTGTAGATGGACACAATAAGTTCAGGGATTTGAACACAAATGAGGTTCTCAGGAATCTGAGCTTGCTCCACAAGATGTCTCCATTTTCAAGCTTCAGGTAGAGTTTAAGCTAATCCTTGGTATGCCTTGCTTTAGGCTGTGGCAGCTTTTTAAGAACAAAGAGAATTGAATCCTGCCCATTGTAACTACCCGGGAATCTGAAGCAAAGATAGGTGTTTCCTTAGACTAGGACTTTAGTCCCTTCCCCAGACTTAGACAAGGGTATCTGGCATCACTGAGAGGTGAATCACAGTACACCTCCTTCCACACATCTTTACTTTTGCCCATTGCTTTCCCCACTGTCCCTTTCCTGCCTCTTCCTCTGGTGGCAGCAGGTAAATGCTCACCTCTGTTGGCTCACAGGGTAAGGGAAGCCAAAGTCCAGTACATGGGAAGAGGGTCTGCTTACAAAGTGTCTTTTAGCTTCCAAATGCTTCCAAGCAAGTTTCTTGCCATATCAAATGATTGCAAGCAATGTCTTTCCTCCCATTATATTGTGTCTCGGGTGTGTGTCTTTAGCCCAGGCAGCTTTCTCAGGCACATGCTCCAGCACCAGCTGCTGAACTCAAAAATGCTCTGGCATTGTTTCTGCCTTTGCTTGCTTGAGGCAGAGTTTGCAGCTGAGGAGGGGCAGAATGTCTCCTAGCATGTGCAGGACAGCATTCCTTGAGGCTGCGATCTGTCCCTTGTAAGTTTGCCTGTTGCCTAGGCATAGGATGAAGTTGCTTTTTCTACCAGGACGAGTTCTTTCATCTTGGAAGTATGTTATTGCTGAACCTGTGCTGTGCAGTATTGGCTTGGGGGATGCTATCCCTTATGTTAGCATGCCTGAAATCACTGCAGCATCCACAAAGTTTGTTCCCTCCCTTGTACACTATCCAACCTTGCCTTGGCTCTGTTGGCACCAGATCAAAGCAGGAAACATTGCCTAAGTTGCCTAAATCACCCTACTGCCACTGCCTTGCTGAGGGATCCCTGCTCCTTCCTGCCAAGTGCAGAGTGTGGGCATGTCCTCGGGCAGGTGACAGGGTTACAAGGATGCAGTACCTGCTTCCAGCTGGTTTGTACAGGCTGGCAGCTGCTTCACCTTGCCAGCTCCCAGGCACTCACCTTGCCGGCACAGTGGCAATTGCCACTGTATTAAAAACTGTGGAACAGAGTTAAGGTTTGTCCCATTCCTTCTCTTTTCTGCTCTTTCCCCAATCTGGATTTGTGCTCTAAACTGAGAGGAGAGAACCTGGTCCTAAAATCCCCACTCCAAAACACAGGATGATCACAGCTGGGCTTTCAAAGTAAAGTGTTCCATATGGTCCTGTGTCAGACAGCTGATAGTGACTGATGGTGCAGTTTTCTTCCCACACGGGGCCAACACGTAGCTCAGACTAGACAAAATTCTCAGGCCCACGTTTCCAAGCATTCTTGGTCTGGATCATAGGTCCCTTTGTGACCTAGCTTAGACTTTTCCCTGAGTGGGACAGAGCTCTTCCTGCCATCAGCTCTAGACAGGTCCAGGACTGCTGCAAGTAGCACCTTTACCAGCACTAGGTCAGAGCAGCTGTGGCTTTGTCCGTTCAAGGATTGAAAACCCACAAGCAAAATTTAGGTGCAAAAGCCACATCACAGTTCGTCAGTCCCTGACAGCCACCAACACTAAAGCCTCACAGCAAGGAGCCTCCATAATTGGTCATAGCTTCTGTTCTGGAGCCTGAAGGCTGCAGGAAGTCATGAAAACTAAGCTAGAGACGTTCTTGTAAGTCTTTGCAGGGCTGCAGGTGAAATTAGGAGTACAGCTATAGCCAAAAAGAAATTATAGGAAAAACCTTTTGGTACTCAGTAGTCAAACAAATACAAGTTTATTTACAAACAAAGAAGAAAATGTGGCCATCATATCCAATTCTGGTATATTTACAGCATCCAGCTGAAGGATCAGAGTAGGAGGATCATAGGGCAGAGGGTTGATATTAAGGAAAGAGGAAGTTTCCTTTGAATTGCAGAGGATCTGAGCTGAAACAGGCCAAAACCTCCATACTTGGAAAGCTGAGGCTTCAGAGAACACTAACAGGCTAAACTAACTCACAGCAGTAGTCGGAGAGGCAGCTCTGTGATGCCCTTCCTCAGCTCTTACTCAAGAAGCCTGCTTCCTCAAAAAGCTGACACAGCAGAGGTGAGTTTGGGCCCCAGTGCTCAGGGAACAAAGGAAAGAAAGGGCCTGATTTTTTTTCCCGCTAATGAGTGACAAGGGGGCAGTAAGAGACTTTGCTCGCCTGCACAGGCAAGGGACCGTAAAGTCAGTCAGCTGAGCTGAGCTGGAAAGCAGTCTGGTTCCAGGCACTGAAAGCTGGCAGGGAAGAGAATGGGAAGGCCTAGTTCCAGTCCAAGAGCAAGGAATGTGAAACAGGCCTGTCAGGATGTGAACTCCAGTCCAGTCCAGGTTCAAAACTGCCATGGGGCTACCTGCAATTATCATTATTTTTTCTTTAGTGAGCCTTTCAGCTTCTTCTCTGAGGAGCGCTGTTTCTGCACCTTCTCCTCCTTTTTCCCCAAGTTCTCATAAACCGTTGACTCCTCTTTTTGCCTGTAAGACCCAGAGAAAAACAATGGAAAAAGTGAGGAAGAGGAAAAAGCCAGCCAAGCCAGCAGGCAGACTATTGCCAGAGGCAGGCATAGCTGGGTCTCTGGTTTAGGGGGGCTCTTACTTGGAGAGTTTTCGTAAAACCTTGGCATGTGCATTCCTCACTGCAGGGGGGTAGGAGATGTTCCCATACTCACACTCGTTTGGCCTGCCTTTCTGAGACTACAGGAGAGAAAAAACAGGCTGAGAGGAGTGTGGTTTGGGAGATGCACATGAGGCACCATGGAAGAGTTCTGGCTGTTAAACCACACTTTGTGCCAGCACCTCAGTGGAGGTTGGTGGGTTGCTGAAGTTCCCAGGCTCAGTGCATTCTGTCTGCTGCTGTCAGAGGGGAGCAGCAGGAACGCAAACACAGCCAGGAGGGAACAGTGGAGCAACAAATCTCTGGAGGCATTGGAATTTGCCTGAGAGTGCCAAATGTCAGCTAAAGAATATTAAACAGCAGCAGCTACTGGATGCTGCCAGAGGCTACAAGGAGAGATAAAGATGCCACTTATCAGCCAGAAGGAAAAAATCCTGCAACTGCAGAATTGAAATGTGAAAGACAAAGAAAGGAGAGGGCAAAGTCTTTGCTTGTCCTAGATTGAGCTTGTAACAAAACAGTACTTGGTGGAGATGGTACTTGAGCTGCTAATGTTGTCCCCTGAGCTCAAAAGTCTCAAAAGAGGGGAATAAGGACTCAGATCTTGGTGCACCATTGTAGTCTGTGTAGGTCCCAGTGTTAGCTTAAAGCCTGTGAAACAGAGCACTTGGGCTCAAAGACAACACCATGCAAGCCTAGGCTCACAGGGCAGTAGAGCCCCCTTTTTCACCTGGATAATTTCCAGCTTTTTCTTGGTTGCCTCTATGAACTGGCAGATGGCCATGTAGATGAACTTGTACTGGGCCTCTGTCTGCACCATCCCAGATCGCTGAGCCCTCACCATCTGGATGGTCTTCTGGATGTCAATGTCACAGTCCAGGCCTAGCAAGGAGAACCAGAAAAGCTTATGGACATGTTCACTGCCCCCTCTCCCAATTCTCTACCAAAAGCAGTTACAGGGGAGGTCAGTCAAGAAGTTTCTGCCTCCTTCCATATTCTTTACTCCTATATGGACCTCCTATCTCTCCCTCCTGCTCAGCATCTTTCAAGTCTGGCTCTGGAAGAAGAGCCGAAGCTCAGGGAAGGCTACAGCCACAGTAAGTGGCAATGGTACAGAGATCCAACAGCACAACCTTCTCGGGGCTGGGGCAGGATCTCTCCCAGTTATACCTAAATAGTTTTCATTCCTTTGCAGCTGGACTTAAGGGCATAGCCCTACTGGGTAGGCCAGTTCACTTTGATGGGGTCCTCTTACCCTTGGTGGAGATTGTTTCCACTATCATATCAATGACGATGATAGTCCCAGTGCGGCCAATCCCAGCACTGCAAGGAGAGGACAAGCAGAGGTCAGAGCAAAACAGCTCCTGAAAGAAAATGCAGCTGCTTCTGGGGAAGGATGCAGCTCTTGTAGCAGCTGTCCAGCAATGACACAAGAGAGTCACAGATTCAATAAGCAGAGAGTTTGGTTTGGGGGCATCAAAGAGGAAAAAGCAAATATCAGGGCTGGCATAGGCTTCAGTCACAAGCCCTGGGGTACAGACTGGAAGCAGCAGGACAGACTTTCTATGTCTCACCCTAGATAAGGAATGGAGAATGCTTCAAACTCCAGCCTCTGTACCAACCTGCAATGCACCAGAATAGGCCCTGCACCCGGGATGCTCTCTTGCTTCTGGTTTATCTGGTCGAGAAAGCTGAGGACTCCTCCTGGCTCACTGGGCACACCGTGGTCAGGCCAGCTCAGGTACTGGTAGTGCCAGATCTCACGCACAGCCTTACCCTGGTAATAACAAAGCACCTCATTGATGAAACTGCAACCCAGCCCTGTCCCTGGCCTCTGTCCCAGGGAGATGCAGGTCTGAAGCCAAAGGGAATCTCTGTCTCCTGCACACTTCTTGGTGATTCCACCAGTGTGATTCCAGCCCAAATCAAGTGGGAACAGCAGTCCCAAGAATGATACAACAGCAGCATCACCACAGCACCTGACAGTTCCCAGCTTTAGAAATAGAGTGGCTCTTAGACTCATAGGCTCAATGACAGCCCTTGATCATTCACACTCACGTTATCCTTTGGACACAGACAGAGCTGCCGGAGTTTGTACTCCAACGCATCGTGCTCCGCAGCATTCTCCACAAGGTAGGGACCATACTCCTTTGTGCTGCCCAGCTCTGGCCAGTAAGGCACACATTTGTTCTGTGTGGGCAGAGAGGGCAGGGTGAGGATGGGCAGAAGGCAGGAAAGAGGGGAAAAGCAGAGCAGTGGTTGAAGGGGAAAAGAGGGCATCTCCAAGACACCTACAGACTGCTACTTACCCGCCCTTTTTCTACCTCCCGTGTCGTCATCACGATGATGCGTGTGTTCTCCTGCCACACCATTTGCCAGAAGTCATTGACTGTGGCTTCCAGGCAGCCCTGGCTAGCGATGTAGGTCTTGGTGCACTCATCTGGGCTGATCATGGTGTTCTGATTGTGGACAGGGAAAGGTCAAGAGGGCTGCAGGAGCAGGCAGGCCTTCTCCCACTCTTGGGCATACAGTCATCTTTCATGAGTCTCACCTTGACATAGTTGGCATTGATATAGTCCGATCCAGGTATATTTGGGTCCCTTCCTTGGAGGATGACTCTGGAGTGATCAACTGGGGTGCAGTAAAAGAATAAACAGTGCGATGAGATACTCTGTGCAGCCACAAGAAGCTCTTTCACTGCCCCATGCCACCTCATTTCACTGCCCCACGCCTCCCAGTGCATGCAGCATGCCCTCTATCTTCACCTGTCCGTCTCTAGGGTCAGACTAACCTCACTCCATCTTCCCATCTCTCTGCCCCTATCATGAACCATCAGAAGATAATGAGTCTAAGGCAACCTTCCCTGCTTCCTTCAAGGACATGAAAAGGCTGTGACCTCTCTCATCATCTCTGAAATTCTCATAACCTGTTCTGGAGGATAGAGCAGGCTGAGGCAGGGCCAGTGATGCCCTGGACAGCTCTTCATTGCCTGTCTGTACATATTTGTGGGTTTTTTTATAGTGGAGAAGCAAGACTCACAGGGCAAGATATTCTTGTATCGGTTCTTGCTCTTGTTTTCAGGTCTCTGACCCTCATGACGGTCAAACAGGTGCTTGGCTTCCTGTTTTTGCAAACTCTGAGAGCAGAAGAAAAATAGTCATGGCAAGATCACAATATATGACAGGGGAGGTGGGCACTTGGAAGAGATGTGGTGGTTCTGAGGACACATGGCCATGTTTGTGGGGGAGTAGAGAAGTGAAAAGCAAACCTAGACTTGAAAAGTCTGTGCCCTTGCTGTCTTGGTGACTCATTCTCCCAATCCTGAAAAAGTACATTTCTACCTCACTGGGTTCACTTAAAGATGACATTCACTCCCCAGGAGAACAGGTTCCAAACAGACACTTCTTTCAGAGACAAATTGACAAGACATATGAGAAGTCTGTGTATAGGAAGAAATTGAGGATGGAGAATGAGGTGGTGCACTGGGAATTCCCAAAAAGACAAATAATGTCCCCCAGCAGTTTCTTACATCAAATTCCTCCCAGAATCCAGCCTTGGACGTCTCCTCAGATAGACTCTTCTTGTTCAGTTCCTGCACTCTATTCTCAATGTCAGCAGCATTCACCCTTGTAGCATAGTAGGGCTGGGGATGGGAAAACACAGTGGGTTGGCATGAGAGAGAGAGAGAGAGAGCAGGAGGGAGAAAGAGAGAAAGAGAGATGGTGCTGGAGAGCAAAGTCTCCTCTGTGTGCTGTGGAGAAAAGAAGGAAAGGAACATAAAGCAGAAACAAACAGCAAGTCAGTCCCTCTAAAGGATCCCTAAAACCAGAAAACTAGGTTTACCTGCTTCAGGTACACGAAGGTGCCAGACATCTCTTCAATTCCGATCTTCTTGAAGTGCTCAACCAGATCTGTCAAGCTGTCAAACATTTCAGCGCCTCCAACTGTGTAGCGTCCATTCTAAATCAAGGAAGAATGTGTAATGTCTCACTCATAACATTCATAGAATCATGGAATGGTTTGGGTTGGAAAGCATCTTAAAAGTCATCTATTTCCAATCCCCTGCCATGGGCAGGGACACCTTCCACTAGACCAGGTTACTCAAACCACCATCCAGCTTGGCCTTCAACACTTCCAGGAATGGGGCAACCCCAGTTTCTCTGGGCAACCTGTTTCAGTGTCTCACCACCCTCACAGTAAAGAATTTCTTCCTAATATCTAATCTAAACCCTCTCTCTTTCAGTTTGAAGCCATTCCCCCTTACCCTATCACTCCATGCCCTTATAAAAAGTCCCTCTCCGGCTTACTCACAATTCCCCTTTATGTAATGGAAGGGCTGCTGTAAGGTCTCCCCAGAGACTTCTCTTCTCCAGGCTGAACAGCCCCAACTCTCTTAACGTGTCCTACAGACAAAGCTGATAATGCTCAGGGAAAAGGCAATGCTGGGGTGCAAAGCCCTGGGCACCACCCTGCACCATCTAGAAAAGCACTTCCTCTGGCAGGCAAATCAAATGCAAGTTTTTCCTGAGAACACAGAATTCACAGCATGACAAACTGACTGTACTCTTGTAGGATGGAAGCCCAGAGAAGGTATATTGCACTCAAATCTCATTTAAGGTCAGTTGCTTTTTGTCCTTGAAATCTCCTCATCCCAAGTGAGAGAAATAGGAGAACTTGTGACAGCCAGGTTGGTAACATTCATCAAACTAAGTATGGAGGCCCTGCAGATACCCCTTCTTCCTGCTCCAAACACTTTTAACTCTTTGGATGAACTCATAATTAGGTTATGAATCCTCCTCTCTCTCTTCTCACAGACTCCCTGTACCAGAGGTCCCGGTCACACTGAGCCCTGCCTCCTCCTGTGTCTGAGCACCCAGCCCATGCTCACCCAGGCTGGGGTGAGGACACAAGGACCCTGCAAGGGAATAGCACTTTGATCCAAATTAAGAAACACTGCTGGTGGTAATCAAGCTGACAGGGCACATGCTTTTGAGGACATGATCAGGAGAGGTCTCTTCCCCTCCTTGTGCTCTCCCACTGCTCACCTCACACATGATCTTGATGTGCGTGACTTTGAGCCGGGCCCCAGAGGCACTGGTTGCCCCAGCTGGTGGAGCCTCAGACCCAGGTTTAGGCTGGTCAGTGAGGACAGACAAGACAAAATCCCCAGGTTTGCTGAGGCTCTCCCGCACCAAGAATGTCCAAGGGGTGGCTTTGGCCTGGAGAAGTGACTCAGCTGCAGGACCTGACAGATGCCCATGGTACCACCTAGTTAAAACAAGAGGAGAGAGGTGGAGATGCAGTAAGTGGATGGCCTTGAGCTGATGAATGAAGGAGAGCAACACTGGGAAAGGGTGAGAGGAAGAAAGGAAGAGGAAGAGGAAGGAATGAGAGAAAGAATAAAAATCAGGGGAGGAGCAGGATCTTGGGGAAAGCAGATGAGACAGAAAGTAGAGAGCTGGCAGGAAGAGGACAGGGCAAGGGATGAGGTGGAGGCAGAAGGGACCCAGGGAGCAGAATGTTGGAACAAGACAACACAGTGGGAAAGCAGCATGTGTGATCCAGTTGCGTGATACACACAAGGGGGAGAGTAGTCTGTGGATTTCAGCACCTCACAGTACTACTGGGATTCTAGCATTACTGCTGCAAGGTGCTTTGGAAACTCAAACACCAGGGAAACAAAAATAATGCCCCACTGAGTCAGAAAATCTCCCATCAGATTTAACAGCACCCAGATGGTTGTGTTGAGATCAGATCCATCAAAAACCCATTCCAGCGACTTCTCTTTCTGAAACTCAGTCACCTCCTCAATCAAAGAATAATTCCCATTCTCTGGGCACATCACAATGCAGCAATCAGCCTAGCCACAGGACTGAGCCCCTTTTCTGCTCCTGCTATTTACACTGTTGATCTGTGTGCACATTCCTGTCCTCAGTGCAAATACCCAGTCAGCAGCTCCTTCTCTCCTCCCAGCACAAGGTGAGCAGCATCCCCATCTGACCAAGGTGCCCTCTGCCTTGCTGCAGGACTGGACCCAGGGCACAGAGGGACACAGAGTGGTGCAAATGGCACAGCTGCTGCCAAGCCCCTGCCCACCTACAAAGGTCTGGGAGGGTATGTGCCTGCTCAGTGGGATCTCACTGAACTGAGCAGTGCAGGTGAAAGCGATGGTCATCAGAAGCAGGCTGGGACATGGGACAATCTCTCTTCCTACTGCTGGGCTCTTGACCCTGCAGAAACTCCAGATGTGATCCAGGTTGTCTCTGTACAGGTTCTCTAGTTCCTCATGGCTGTCCCAAGCTCCACAGGCTCTTTGGACCACATCAGAAGTCCTGGGGGGCATTGCTGAGCTGCCAAGCAGAGATGTGGAAGGCCACATTCACTGCAGCACTGTCCTGCTTCTACAAAACCCACTTGAAAAGTGGAGCTAGAGATCCAAATTACAGAAAGTTGAGAGCTCCAAGGTGCTCTGGGCACTGGGAAGTGTTCTGAATCATCCCACTCCTCTTGGTACACAATTTCCAGTGGAGCCTTTGCTGAGTTTGAACACATCACAGCCCAAGTGCCAGTACAGTCCTGGCACTCCTGCCATGGCCCCTTCACTCCTTCCCAGCTTGGTTTCAGGGAGGGGACTTGGGCCCTTCTCCTTCAGCAGGGATGAACCCAGTTGAAACAGTCCCCTCCAGTCCTGGAACATCCCCATCCCCAGCTGCAGCCGTGCGCTGGGCTCTGTGTTCAGGGGGCTTTGCAGCATGGCTGCTGTGCCAGCTAAAGGCCACAGCTCTGTTTCGGCCACCTCCCCTGGGGAACAGCATTTCAAAAGCAGGTAGCTGTTGCATCAGGCTGACTTGCAGTGTCCCTGCTGCTTCCTCTCACTGCAGGTACCTCGACAAGCACCAGCCACACTCCCTGTGTCACTGTGTCCACTGCCGCCAACGCCAAGCCAGTGTGTCAGGGCTGTGGGAGCGGGTTTGCTGCCCATGGAGCAGCTAGCAGGGAAGGCCTGGAGTAGTACTGGTGAACTTCACACTGTAAGGAAGCTGTTCCCAGGAACCAAGATGGAGTTCAAGAGGCCATACCCCAGTTACATAAGCAGTCAGGGCATTCATTCACCCCTGGATCTGGTCAGAGATCTGGTCATATTACTCTACACAACATCTAAGAACCATTCAAACAGCAAGAGGTGGCACACAACAGCCTTGGCAAGTAGTTGCTGTTGATCCTTGCCCTATGCACTGCAAGAAGTAGCTGGTGACTGGCAGTCATTAATTTCTGAACCTCCTTCCAAAGAATTGCTCAGCTACCATGTGCTCAGATGCCACCCGGGGATCAGCTGATCTCTCCTGCTCATTAGAGAGGTCTCCAGGCCTCCCCTACATAGGTAGGATGGAGTTAATGGGTCCCATTACCCCCTCCCTTCCCCCAGCATAGCCCAGCTCTTCAAAGCCACGTGATGGAAAATCACTTGGGGAGAGAGTGAGAAGAGCTTTCGTAAGAGCCTGGGGGGTGGTTGTGTGTTAAGTTTCCAACCGCAGAGAGGAAGGGAGGAAACTGCAGGGCCACAATGCAATGGCCTTGACTGGAGAGGACAGCCAGCAGCAGAGCTGGTCCCTCTGCAGCCTGACCCCAGAGCAAGCTGGTTAGTACCCTGATGCTTCACCCAGGGCATCTCTGCTCCCTGCCTCCAGGTGTCTGAGGAGGACCTGCCTGAGGAGAACTTGTCCACCCCTGAGCAGGGCATGACAGCTCCCCGAGCTGCACCAAAGAGCCTAAAAGCAAAATGCAAGGGCAAAACCACCTGATTTGATTTAGGAACTTAGTGTCAGAGACACATGCAAAGTGAGGACAGGAAGGAGACTAAGCAGGCTGGGAATAGCAAGGGAACATAGCCCCGCTCTCAGCTATGTGAGTCACTCAGGCCCAGAATAACCAAGGAGGTTTGGGGTAAGACTGAGGGCTTCCACATAACATATGACTCTATGGATTGCTGCAGACCCACACCTGAGACCACAACCTTTGCTTTTAGGAACAGTGTATAAATAGCAAAGGCAACCGGAAACCAGAAGTAAAAATAGAGCTCTATTAGGTCTGCTGTGATGGTTAAGGTATGGCCAGCTATTCCCAGGGATGCTGCCCCCACAGATGCAGAGGTGGCAGGTGACACTTTTTGCAGGACTTGCCCTAGGGATGCAGGCAGGGCAGAAAGAAGGCCACGAAACACAGAGGAGGTCTCACCACAGACACACTGCTTTGCTGTCCCCATACCTCTCTGTCGTGGGGTCAGAACAGTTGAGCGGGTATCGCAAGTCGATGATGGTTCCATCTTTGTCCTGCAGTGAGCCCTGTTGCTGTGTGTAGTACTCTACCAGTTCTGACAAGGTAGCAAACTTCTCCCCTCCATATAGGTCATAGAAATCCCCAGTATTCTGGATGCGGATGTGGGTTACCTGGTCACCAACCCTGTGGAATAAAGCACAGAGCAGTCCAATGAGGTGGTTGGAAAAGAGGCAGAAAGTGTTCTGGACTACCTCCTGCCATGGAACCAGAGCAAACCATCCCCATGAAAGATGACTGGAAAGAGAAGCTCCAGGGGCAACTTGAAGGAAGGTCTAGACGATGCTGGGGAGCTCAGCTTGGAAAGAACTCAAAGGAATACAGATAGGATGAAGATGATGCCACAGGACATGTAAGGATCTCAACAATCTCTGTGTATAACACTGAAAAGACAGAACTTGGGGTTCAAGTTACCTACCGGACTGAAAGAGAAAAATCACCCTGATTCTTCCGACTGGGTCTGGCTAGAAAGCTCCCATGGACACCTCGTCCCTTCAGTAAGGCTTCAGCTTCCAGCCCACTCAGGTCACGATGAAACCACCTAGCAGAGAAGATAAAAGCAAGACCAAGTGAATAAAAACGGCCAGACGCTACTGTGGAGACCTGTACGGTGAAGAACAGTCCCTGGTCAGCATCCCTAGGTGAGAGTCAGAATCAGCATCCCTTCTTACTTGATACCTCCCCCAGCCTATGGAAGCTTCCCATTAGAGACACGGTTTCCAAGGTGATCCCCATTCTGATTTGTCCTACTTCTCTGGTCCCCCTCCTTACACACACAGACTTTTCAGACCCTCTTACCTCACCATTGTGGAGGGTGAAAGAAGAGGGGGCCAAGTGGCTGCCACCAAAGAAAGTCAAAAAACACAGAGGAAAAATCAGTTTGTACTGGCAAGAAAAGGGAAGTCGGAGGTCTGTGCCGGAGCACCCAAAGCCAAGCTGTTCCTGTGCCTCTTGGGAGCTGGCCATGTATCTCTCCTGGAGTCTACTGTCCCTCCATTCAGACCCTCTCCATCCACGATTTTCTGGTTAGGTGCCTTGATCTGTGGCTCTCTGTATAGTGCTCTTGGGCACAGGCAGGTGCAAGCCCATGCGCAGCTGGGCACGCGCGGCTCCAGGAACAGGAAGCGCTCTGAGCCATCAACTCCCCAGCCCCAAGCTGCTTTGCACACACTTCTGCTTCTCCTTTTGTGTTTTTCTTCCCCATCCCCCCTATTATTTTTAGGTCCCTGCCTTTTTACACACTAGGGCTGATGCTATGCATGGACCTTGGGCCTTGGCCACGCTCAGAAAATTTAGTTCTGCATGTCCTCTATTCCCTTTCTTCCCCAAAAAGCCAGTAAGCGACATGAGCAGTCCCAAATATCCTACATACTCTGTACAGGCACAAAGGGGAATCTGTGCAAACCCAGAGCCACACACTTAAGAGGTCCAGGCTAGTGCTCGGAGCACAGCGATGCCTCCCTGAAACCAGCCTGACCTGGATGGTGCTGACAAAAGCAGCGGTAGCTCAAAAGGGATGGCGTGGGAAGGAGGTGGTGTTAAAGCTGCCCAGAAAGGCAGGCAGAGACCAGGACAAACAGTTACTACCTACAGTGAGCCCACACAGCACCGAGAGAGCTTAGGCGAGAACCTTTAAGATCGCAGCACAGCCAAAGCTGACAACCTGGACAACTAGGTACAAAGAAGGAAAACTAGCCATTCCAGTTACCTAGCTATTTCCTGCTATGGCCCATGGCTGACCTGTCCATAGCACTGGTTTCAAGGTCTGCAGGTCTCAGGAAAGACTAGGAGCTAAGCAGTGACCTGAGGGCAATCAAGCTGGCAAAGGAGCCTGACTTTTCCCTGGGGCAATCTCAGCTACCCTGTGTGGGCAGCAGGAACAGTAAGAGCGCTGCTCATTTCAAGTACCAGCAGCTGCAGACTTCCCTGCATACCCACCAGACTGGGAAATCCTGCAAAAAGCTGAACAGGCTGCTAACTACGGCCTAGACAAAAACTTGTGGCCAAGACAGAAACTAACAACAAAGGGAAGTACAGGAGAGATGAGTGGGAAGCTAAACTTCATTGCTAGAAAGGCAACCCAGGCACCTACAACAGCTTCCTTTGAAATGCTTCTAGTTTCGCACACATGATGAGCCATGAGCTGCAGGGATCCAGCTGTACGGATTTAAAACCGATATTAAAAAAAAACAAGGAGACTTTAAAGGCACAGAGACCTGTGGCTCAAGGGAACAACTTCTACACAAAGTGTAGAAGCTGCACCCGAATCAGAGACAGTGTAGCAGTGGCACAGGAAAGTATTGTGCAGAGGTAGGAGAGAAATGGCAGGAACTTCTGGGCAAAAGTCTCAAAAGACAATTCCTGATATCAAAAGAATATTAGAGTATGTTGGGTCAATATGAAGCCAAGGCAGACGAAAAATAAAACCTAGGCATCCTCAGACCTTACAAACTGACTGAAGGAGAAAATCTGTCTGAGCAACTGAAAATCAGTTGGACTCGGAAACAAGGAAAGAACAAAGTAGCAAAGAGCCCAGATCGGAGCAGAAAGGGTGAGTTAGCACTAAACCCAATGTAACTCAGTATCCCCCGGCAGGACAAGCCACAGGGTGCAGTGCAGCCCGTCAGTATTTGTGTGGACACAAATCCCGTATCACATAATTTACAGGCTCAGTTTATGCTTCTGGTTGCTTGCAGCTCAGGAAAGGAATGGATGCACACAGCTGCCTTGGTGTCTTTGACCTGGGCCATCTAATTTAAAACTACCAGGGAGGAGCTCCTGCCACTAAGGGAGGGAAATATCACTATAGAGAAAGTTGGTATCTTTGAGGTTGCTCTCCCAAATGGATGCAGCATAGAACAGCTGACTATAACTGAGCCACTAAAATACTGTCTTAATATAATTAACAGGTCAAGAGATTTCAGCAAAGAGAGTTGTTTGGCTTTCAGTACAACACAGGTGTTTGAAGCTCATCTTGTAAATCCCTTGCGGAGCCGAGCTAGGGCAGGAACAAACTTACAGGAGAAGATAAACGAAATAGCTAAGTAAAAAAGACACCCACATCTGGACTGCTGTAAAAAAAAAAAAAAAGACACTGAGAAACTAGAGAGAATCCAGCATAAGGTCACAAATGCACAGGCACAAAGAGCCTGGAGCACAGCAAAGATGGAGGAAGCTGGGTTTATTCAGCTTGGAGAAAAGATGCTTAAGGAGGGATTTAGCAGCTGTCTGAGACTACTTAAAAGGGGCTAGGGGGGGTTAGAGATGATGAGTCAGATTCTCCTTTGTGGGACACAGCAAAAGGACAAGAGGCAATAGACATAACTTGCAGTAAGGGAAATTCTGAGTAGGTATCAGGAAAAATTGCACACGTGCTCCCCCCCAAGGGCAGTTTAGCACTTGCCACAAGCGTCCAGAACGGCTGGGGAACCTCCACCCTGGAAGATGTTCAGGACTCACCTGAGCAAGGCCCTGAGCAACCTGATCTAGCTCTGTTGTGATCAGGGGGCTGGACTATGCGATCCAGAGGTCAAAACAGTTGTTAAATAATAGAGGGAAAGGTTATGTATAGAGTTCCTTTTACCCTAAGCCTCTATTTGCAGCTATTTGTAGAGTCAACAGTCAAATCCATAACAAATTAACAAATCTACCATCCTCTGGCAAGGAGTTCTACTGCTCAGCTACAGAAACACCCCCTCCTTTGACCTGCTTATAACCTGCTCCCTCCCTCATTTTTATTAACATTTCGTTGTTGCAAAGAAAGAAAAATCAGTGACTGATTCCTGTTCCCCCCACCCTGCTCCAAGCTACTCATGGTAACAGCCCCGTAACACCTGTATGCATCCTCAGCTCTTTGCCAGGCTGAAGACTCCAGTGCTACTAAGGTGATCTTTGTACAGAACTATTCTACACCTCTGATCACCTTTGCTGTCCCTCTCCGAGATGTCTCCCACTCTAGCTCCTTGTTTTAGAGATAAGGGTGATGGTGGCAGAGAACTGTGGTGTTCAAGATGCTGCTGAGTCTCGGACAGTGATGACTTTTGATGTTCACCACAACCAGCATTAAGCCAACAACTGCAGGGTCTTATATATATATATATATATATATGTATGTATATACATATATATATATATATACATACATACATACATATATATATATATATAATAAAAGTTTCACTCCACAGAGGTTACAACTAGTTCACAGTCATTTTATATGTAAATTTTGAATTATTTTTCTGCATGAACATTGTTTTACATAGGCCTATATGGAATTTCATCTGCTGTTCTATTGCCCACTTGTTCACCATCGTAAGGTCCTTCTGCAATTATTCACAGTCAACTCCCACTCCATTATCCTGAATAACTTTCTACCATCACCCAATTTTCTCACCTCACCAAGCTGTATTCCCAGGTCACTTGGGAATATACTGAACGGTGTATATTTCAGGTTAGGCCTCTGTGATCTGGCCACTGATGACTTCCCTTTGCTGTAAAAATGGGATGTTAATTTCCATCTTCCATTTCCTATTTTCTATTAATTCTTTACCTAAGAAAACCTTAAACTTCTTTTTTTATGCCATGATTTCAACTTTATTTAAAGACTTTGATGAGAAAATCTTGTTAAATTCTTTAAACCCAAGGAAACTGTATTGCCCAGACCTGCCTTATCTACAAGCTTGCTAGGTCCCTCAAAAATCTCCAGTTTAACAGGACAGGATTTACCTTTACAAAAGCAAGTGCTGGCTCTTTCTTTAGTATCACATTCATTGCTTTCTCTGTTATGTCTACCCTCTTGCTCGGATGATGATTTTACTGTTCCGTGCTTCCCTTGCACTTGGGGGATCTAATTTGGAACCCTTTTTGAAAATGAGCATTGCATTTGTTACTTCTAATTCTCAGCCCTGAGATGATTTCAGCAAGGTTTTGCTGTTCTGCACAGAACTACATTCTAGTTCAGTCCAGTTAGTGCAGAGTGAAGGCCATTTGGGCTTAGGGAACAGACAGATGGACCCTCTTCCTGGGCCTGGCTGCAGCCAGGTGCTCTCTGTCAGGCTATCGGACCCCAGGACAGTGCTGCACCAACAAGGTTGCCCAAATCCTTACCATAGAGTAATGCTAGAACGAATCCCATTTCCTAACACCCCGCAACTGCAGTCTCCAGGGTAGAGCACCTGTTTGAACTGACCAAGAAGGTTGTATGTCCTCTTGTTCCATAGAGGGCTAGAAAGACTAGCAAATCAAGAAATAACCGGGATTTTAAAGGTCAGACAGCTGACCTCTCTCTGTGCCTAACACACTGAGAGATACTCTAGCTGTGGGGTGGCAGAGGAACTGCAAACCCCTTATCAAACTGAGAAGGAGCAACAGTAACAGCAATAATGATCTAAAACACTGGGAGCTCCAGTTCTCTGGCTATTAGAAGGTGGGGGTTTTTTTCCTTCTATGCCTTATTCCTAGTGCCAGTATTTTTATTTTTCTCATCAACAATTCTTGTTTTCTAGCCCTAACTAGCATTCATAGCACTCACCCACGGGATGGCATCAGGATGTTGTCTCTCAGATCCCCACTGATGGAGGACTGACAGGAGCTGGTGGAGGAAGTACCACAGCCCTCAACCCTGGGGGTCCTACTAAAAAAAATAAAGCAAGATTGGAATTATCAGGACAGTATCTTGAGATGGATTTGGGAGAGAAATCAAAGACCTTGGTAGTGGAGGGATGGACTCGCACCCTCCCAACAGGGCTATACGCTCATGGCGGTGAGTGCCAGGGCTCTGGAGCAGCAGCTGGCAGTGTTTGCGGGCTGCGGCACCTCCCGTGACTCACCTGATCCGCACAGGCAGAGTCCTGAACTCCGCCTGTTCCTAGGCGGACTGAGAAGGTAGCTCCAGGACAGGCAAACCTCAGGCCTCAAGTAGAGGGCTTAATTGTCACCATTTGCAAAGTGCTTCCTGGACTGTAGTTAATGAATAATCAGAGGGGTGGGGGAAGGCCAAGGCCAAGCTGGGAGAGGTAGATGGAGACGGAAGGGACCTACTGCTCTTCCTGCCTCCTATCCACTGCTCACGCCCTCCCTGGCTACATTCCTGCCTGGTTTGTAACTGAAAGGCACAGAAGCAGCTCTCACACCCGGCTCACAGCTCCCTGCTTTCGCAGGCTGGCTCCTTCACCCCTGGCTCTGCCACCCTCCTCAAAGATCTCAACTCTTCAAAGGGCAATGGGCACATGGGGCAGGAGGCTACAAACAGATATACCTGATGTCCCTCCATTTGAATCGCACTGGAAACACAGAATGTTACTCTGGAGAGAGGCTATTCCACGAGATTGATCCCTCTACAGTCCCAAAAAATGTGAGGTACGATTTTATGTTGTTTACGTTGTTCTAATCCAGGCTGCAGCCAAATGGGGCAAGCCCAGCCCTCCCACGCTCTGCCGCTCCCTGCTGCGTCTCTCTGCTGCCTTTTTCACTAGGGATAATGTGCTGGATTGCACATTCAGCCAGAAAAAAAGGCAGCCACAGACACTAGAGGCATGAGTAAGTTAGCACTGACTCTGCTGGGGGCAGCAGGCTCAGTGGCATTAACAGCACTTGATCTGCTTAGTGACACATTGCCTAGTATGTTTGAAACAACACATTTGTAAATGCTCGCTCTTAAGGCCTAGCACCTCCTACTAAAAAAAAAGTCTCTTTGATAAGGCTTCACAATAAGGCTCTGCACAAACCTTTTTGCAGAAGGTAGTGCATACTGGGTCTTCTGGAACAGCAGCACATGTGTCATGAGGCAGGCACTGCTCCACCTGTACCTGCCCCTGCCCCAGGGAGCAGCACCCGTGCCTGGGGAGCACCGCTGAGCTCATGGTCATTCATAGAACACGGGCATTTTCAACACACGTTTTATTCACGAGCGGACACACGAGAGGGCACGAAGCATCCCGTTCCCTCCAGGTCAGCATCTCTCTTGTTCAAGTGCTCCATTCCCAGGGCTGACAGGACCTGCACCTTGGGAAGGAAGGCACCAGCCGGAGCAGCGGGAATGCTCCGCGGGCTCAGGAAGCGGCAACTCCGCCAGTCCCGGCCCCGTGCGGCGGCAGCGTCATGGGCGGCAGGAACATGGCCTTGAGCTTGCCCGACATGCTGGCGATCTCCGGGTCCTGCGACTCGTAGGACTTGATCAGGCGGGCGAACTTCAGGACCCCTGCAAGGAGAGAGGGTGGGCGGGGGCCCTCGCTGCCCCGGCGGGCCCAGAGCTCCCCGCCCGGCGGGGGCACAACCCACCTTCGCCATCGCTGCTGAAGCCGTAGGCCTTGATCACGTCCTGCTGGATCTGGGTGGCCACAGGCAGCAGGAACTGCAGCATCTTGCCCATGTCGTTGCAGGCGTTGTCCCGAGCCTCCTCCATGCGCTGCGCGTTTTCGGGCGCCCCGAACGCCTTGATCACCTCCGCCAGCACCGCTGCAGGACACGGAGACACGGATACTCAGCCATCTATCATCCTCCCGTACTCACCGCCGCGGGACGCGGGCACTCAGCCGCCCGGGAGATGGGGAGGTGCGGGGATGGAGATGAGGAAATGGAGCAATCCTGGCGCGCTCACCCTTCGCCTGCTCGGCGCTGAGCGCTGCCGGGCCCGCGGGCTGCGCGGACGCCGCCATGGGGCGCGGCGGGGCGGCCCCGGCTCCGGACCCGCGCCGGCGGACAGCGATACCGCCCCCGTCCGCGCCTGCGCCTCCCCGCCCCTCTCTGCCATTGCACCGGTGGGTGTGGCGGCTTCCCGCGAGGGCGGGAAACCTGCTGGACAAATTCTAAAAGAGCTGAAATCACTGCCGGAAATGAGTCCCCGGCGGGGCTCCGCTCCTGGCCGACCCGCCCCGCGGTGAGGGCGAGAAGCCTTCTTTCCCTAGATTGTTCCCTCCGAGGTTCCCCGGCCCCGCCACCCCCGTCCGCCCCTCCCCGCGCTCACATCGGCGGCCGCCGCCGACAAACGAGCCCGGCCGCGCCGGTCGGGCCGTATGCAAATCGGCAGCTTCCCATTGGCGCTGCGTGCGCAAGCCCCGCCCCTCTAGGCGAAGGGGGCGTGGCTCCTGCCCACCGGCTCCTCCGCGGCTTTCCGCGGTCCCAGCCCTTCCCTGTTTTCACCGAGAAAGCTTGTGTTAGTGCCCTTCCCCTCATGGCCCCAGGGAAAAGAAATGAACACACTGGAGTCCTGTTTCTGGAAGGGGTTTTTTTGTCCTTTTTTTTTGTCCTTTTGTAAGAGCTTCATATATATATTTATATATATAAATTATTAGAATGTGTGTCGGTGCGCGGGAGTGCAAGGGGAACGTACTTTGGGTGTTTGGTTTTGCTTTTTTTTTCCATAGCTGTGTTGTTGGTTGTTTTTCCTTTTAATGGTTAAGTAAATATATATATATATATGGGGGACCAATCGAGAGATACAACTGTGAAATCAGAACACGCACGCAGGGGCAAGGGAGTCACAAGTTGCTACATAAAACTGCCACGTCTAATAGGATGTGCATGAGTTAAAGTACATCAATTAGGATGGGTGAGAGGAAAGGGGCAGCCACCCTCTTACAGTCCCAGGATTCAGTGTCACTGCTCAGCCACATCATCTCTCCCCGTGGGGCTCAGAGGGGTCGCAGTGGTGATCGCAGTCTTGAAAACAGTCTCCTGGTGCTTTGCACCTCGTGGCCGTGCCCATTGCCATCAGCCACAGGAAAGCACAGCCACTATCCAGCAAACAGTCTTGCGGTGCTTTGCACCCTGATGGCTGGGACCAGACCCCAGACCCTCTGTAGGCAGGAGTGGCCACTTAGGAAGGGGTCCTGTAACACTTTGTTTGCATCTGAAGGGATGTCGGAGAATGGGAAGCTGCTCTGGCTAATCTGAAAAAGTTCCACGTTGCTCTTCTGTATCACTAAGCAGTATCTTACACTTAAAGAGGGGTGGGGTGTTGAGGAGGCATCTTGAAAAAAGGCTCTGTTGGGTTTGGAGTTACTTCTTGGCTGCACCTCCTCCTCACAGAAGTAGAAAAGGCAGCACCATCCTGTACATGAAGTCCTGCAATGCTCTGCACTTTTTATTTAATGCAAGTGTTACCCCAAAATAAAGGATGGAGCTGCTGCCACCCTGAATTCATGTCAGTCTTTGTCTTTCTGAGCTCTGTGCAATGCTGATTCTCTTTTCTTCAGAGCTCAGCTGAAATCACGTACCGATTGTTTCATGTCCGTTAGTGGTGTTTTAGTCCCTCCCCATTTTCTCTCCTCCACTTTCTGTTCCCAGGATGCCACCCTGTACTTTTCGTCCGTCTTCTCTTGTACTCTTACTGCATGGTGGGATCAGGATGTGTCACTTTGCAGCTTCCCCTTCATCAGGATTCGGTTGATTGATTGTTCCTCTTAAGAGAAAGACATGATGATGTCATGTTGACAGCAGAAGTCCATTTAAAGGGGTTTGTCACTTTCCTTCTTCAGGTGGCTAGGATAAAGAAGAGGAATGAGGTGATTGTGAAAGGGGAAAAGACAATTTATTACGTCCCCCTGCCTCTGTTAGTCTAGAGCCACATGACACTGCTGGCTTGCAAAGTTTGGCAAATCCTTGAAGTAGGAGATGCTATTGAAGGTACAACACTGCACCTCTTTTTTTCCCAGTGTGCCTCCCCGCGTACATGTGAAAGCCTCGTCTTGGCAAAAGCATCAAGCCCTTGCAAATGTTTTGTATTTTCGCAGGGCTATTGGTTAGTCATAACTCCATTTAGCATGTGTGAAACATGTAAAGTTCTTTCCCCTTCCAGAGGTGAGGAGCCTGGCAAGTGAATAGCCACTTGCCAAGAATGACCTTCTTGTGGCCAGCCCACAGCTGTTCCCCATGGCAAGGCAAGGCATCCCTGCTCCCAGGTGTGGGCTCAGACAGTCACCCATCTCAGGGGCAATGCTTCCTCGTGCCCACCACCTCCACCAGCCCCAGGCTGGGCCTGGAGGTGTATGTGTGAGGTGAGAGCAGGCCCACGCACCTGTAGTAATCCTCCTGCGTCGGGAGCGGCACGCCGTGCAGGGGGTGATGGGCGTGAAGCCACTGCTGCTGCTCCAGGGCCAGGCGCTGCAGCTCAGCCGACTGCGCGTGCATGGCCTGCAGCTGGTGTGCTGCTGACATGGGCGCAGAGAGAGAGCCCGGCAGGTCCCTGTAGGGTGCAGCTGCACCCAAAACAGAGAAGAAACAAGTTGATGAAACAGCTCCATCCATGACCCCACAGCTCAGTCAAGACTCTGCTGCACTCCCATTCCCTGCCCTGCCCACATGGAGGACCTGCCCACCCCCTGATAGAGTGGTCCTGTCCTACACCATGCCGAAGCTCTGTTTGACAGACCTGTTTGGTCCTGTGACCCCTCCTGACGCCCCTGCCTGTCAGAGCTCTGTTGATCTCTCAGGAGGAGACCAGCAGAACCTGTGAGCATCCTTACCAAAAAGCTGGTGGCGAAGCACTTCATTCTCATGAAGAGGGTGAGGCAGGAGAGGGTTGGGGATGGTTCCAGCTGGGTATGGTATCCGGGTGAGGTGTGATCCCGAGGCAAGTGGGTCAATAAGAGGGTGAACAGAGGCTGAGGCTGGGAACAAAAGATAACACAAGATAATTGTCCCATGCTTTGTAAAAGCTAACACGAAAAAAGGTGCAAGGCCTCACAAAACAGACATGGAGAGAAGGCTGGAGTATGTTAGGGATGGAATCACTTCACAGCTAGGTAACACAATACCATGTCCTTCTCTTTTTGCCTGCGCTGAGTTTCACATGAACCAGTCTGGCAGAGCTCTGTTCCCACACTCCTCAGGGGGAAGTACTGCTCCTTAAAAGTCAGTTCTGCAAGGACCTGCTCTGCAATCAGGTCTGCACCCTGTATCATGCTTATCTACCACCCTGGCAGTCATTCATGTGCATACTTGGATGCTTCCGCTTACCGGTCTCATCCAGGACAGATGCTCTTTCCAGTGCTCTGGACTCACTGCCAGAGTGCTGGCTAGAGATGCCCAGCTATGGAGAACGGGGGAATGGACATTCATTTGTACCTGGTGCCACCTCTGAGCAGTTGTGGCTGCTTAGAGCCAGCATCTGCCACTCTGCTGCCAGATCCCACTGACTGCTCACAGCACCCAAGCAGGCACAACACTTTTTTCTTATTGTACTGTAGCTTGGGCTTTACTTCCCTGAGATTTTCATCCCTTAACTTTTTACTTTGCTTTCCTGTAGGATGTGGAAATGGAAGGGACAACCACTCAATTCTGAAGAACAGCAGCCTCCAATTCCTTCTCCCATCCCATCCCATTACCTGCAGCAAGAGCTATAGCAGCAAACCTGATAACCAACATTTCATTAGTCCTAAGGACACTGTCAAAACTGTTCTAGCAGGGCTTCCATTCCCTCTGCAGAGCCCAATGTGAGGGATGAAGTCCTCAGCAATAGCAGCCTGGCAGCCAGTGGGATGGATCCCAGCACTTACACTGTGTCCTCAGAGATCCAGAATGAAAGGACATGGTGCAAACAATTCTGCTTGCCACTAAACAGCAGTGTCAGTGCCTTTGGTGGGATGGGAGTGAGGGCAAGGAATAACGACCATGATGTTGGGCTCTTCTGGCTGAAGATCTGTGACCTCAAAGTCTAGTGTCAGTAGCTTTTGGGCTTCCCCAGTGCCAGAGGGAGGGAGTGTAAGGAGGACGCATTAGATTAGAAAGCAGGGCTTTGTGCAGGGCACCACCACCACAGGGTCCTTACCCGCGTGTATGGCATCCTGCTGGTGGAGATGGAGGTGGGAGTGGATGTGGGAATGCTGATGATGATGAGGTGTCACATTGAGCATCTGCAGCCGGGCCAGAGGGTCATTGCTGAGAGCAGCCACCCGCTCGGCGTGCTGGCGTTCAGCCGCCAAGCGCTCAGCATAGGACATGTCGGGACGAAGAGTGGGGCCAGCTGCCAGCGCCAGCCTCTCCCGCTCCAAGTGGCCCAGCCCTGGGTGGAAGGGAAAAGCGGGATGAAGGCCAGGGGCTGTTTGCAGACTCAGCCCGCCATGGCGTGGGAACGGATCCATGGCAGCAGCCGGCACAGCATGGAGCTGCTCCAACTCAGCTGGTTTGACTTCAAAGCCGGGCTTGAGACGTTCACGCAGGTCCCGGTCCCTCAGGTCTCGTTCGCGGGCTTCCCGTTCCCTCAGCTCCCGCTCCCGCGTCGCTGGATCGCTGCTGTAGATGGCTGGCACGTTGTACCCCAGCAAGCCCGGGTCGACTGCCCCCAGCGGCACGTAGAAGGGGTGGTTGCGGTTGCTGGGGGACATGACGTGGGGCCGTGCGTATTCACTCAAGGTGCGCAGAGCCGGGGTGTCAGGGCCCAGGTATGGGGGAACAGTGGCTACAGCACTGCCCTGCTCGAAGGAGGGGCGGTGGGGAACTGGCCCAAGGGACGAGCACTCGACTGGACGGCCCTCCTGGGCCATCTTCTGCAAAAGAGCAAAGAGACCAGCTTCAGGGTCCCAGCAGGGAGTGGTCGAGGGGGCCCTAGAGCATCCACCCTGCTGCAGCCGTGGGACCCCCAGACCTACCACACTCCTCTCCAGCTCTCGTTCCTTCTCCCGCTCTCGCTCCTTCTCCCGCTCCCGTTCCCGTTCCCGCTCCTTCTCTTCACGCGCCTTCTGCTCAGCCTCTCGCCGCACTTTCTCCACCAAGTCTGCCCTTTTCTTGGCCAGCTTGGAGCCATCAAGGGGCACGAAATACAGGTCAGTGCGGGAGCAGGAGTTGAAGCCACGGTCCAGGTGTTTGTTGAATCTGGGGGTGAGACATGAAGCCTGTCAGTGCTGAAGGGGCTGGAGAGAAGGGATGGGGACAGGGATAGGTACTGTGGGAAAGACACTGAGAGAAAGTGAAAAGTATCATGGAAAAGGAAAAAAAGGGAGCAGCTGCACCTCAGGCTTGGGGTGATTTCCTCTTCCCTGCCCCTTATATCACACCCCAGCCTGCAGAGAACCCCCCACAGCTGCCCCTCACCTGGCTGACTGGCTGGCATGGCTTGGCACATCCACCACCT